ATATATAATTTGTGCTGAGATACCCAGGGGCTGTGAACCAGTAAAGCTTGGTAATTGTGGCTTTACCCCCTCACGTTCTCTTTCTCTTTGGAACCACCCTGTGGGCAGAGAGCACAAGTCCTGCTCTGTTCCTTCCATAGAGAGGAGCTGGTGGTGTCCTGAAACCCTGTCACTAGGAGGCCTGTCTGATCCTCAGATGCAGTATTAGGAACTTTGTTTGCCCACAGATATAAAACCACACACTACAACATCTGCTTTATTAGTAATGAAGAAGATCTTTTCAGTCTCTAAATCCTGACTCCGTTGTCTCTTTTGCTTTTCCTCAGGCAGGATAAATTCTATTTATTGGGCCCTTATTTAATCCAAATGGAGGGAATTCAAGGCCTTGTGGAATACAGAACATGCACTCCCCATTTACTCACCTACCAAAAACAACTGCCAAGCAGGAGACTTAGGTCCTTAGTTTTAGAGATCTGACCTTCATCAGAGATTTTCTAACCTTTAAAATAAATCTTCACAACAAATCCTGACCTGAAATTTTAAGTACCATATCACTGAGGTATGGCAATGGCCACAGAAATGTGGTCTAAGGAAAACATGAAGATACTTGAGCAATTTATCATAAAAACATACCTTGATAAATTAAATGTATGCAACATTACCATGTGAGAAATAATTATTTTTTAAAAAGGTGTTTGAGAAAAAAATGTCTGAGATACAGTGTGTTATCTGTCCTACCTGTCCATTTGCCCTTTACTCACAAGTCCCAATTTGGTATTGCCAGTGCCTGACCTCAAAGAGCCAATGTACAGCTCAGCCTCCACTAAGTTTACTCTGTGTCAGCCCCCAAAACCATGACAGAATCTAGTAAAGACATTGCAGTTATCTTTCTCAATCTTCTTGCTTTCAGAACTCTTTTTTTCTTTATTCATAGGAGAAGAAGAAAGAAAAATAACCATCCAACTACAATATACAACATAAAATTGGGTGTGAACTCCTTCCCTCCTCCACCACCAGGAGGCGTCCTTCTCATCCTCTGCCAGGTCAGTTAGCTGGAAGTGGTTTTATTTTGATTTGCATATAACTTCATTTAGTAAGTATTATTCACTGTTTACACCCCAGCTACTTTCCAAAAAGGATTTAAGGCAGCTCATAGTAAAACATAAAAAGGTTTATTTCCGTAACATCTAGTTTCCTCCATAGAGAAATGGTTTCAACTCACCAGCTGTCTCAAAATTTTGAGTTTGCTAGAAACCTTCTATGACTACATGGAGTACAAAGCATCCAAACAGGAATGGAAGCAGAAGCACATAGGTTGATGAAAAGAAGCTGGAAGGTTTGACACTGAGGTTCCCCTGGTCTCTCCAAAGCAGGTGTCTCCAGAGTCACTAATCCAGTGTCTGTTTACTGACCATCCGTGTGAGACACTAGAGGAGCCACCAATGCCCAGGGACAGAGGGCCTCTTGACCACACCTGGAGGCCTGTCAGCTCTGGGGCATGAGCACCTCAGGGTCTCTGCAAGGGAAATCCATGATCACTTCAACCAGAAAAGAACTTCTATTCGATTCATAGATTGGGTTTCTGAATAGGATTTCAGGTTTAAAGAAAAAAAAAGGTTTAAAAGGTTTCTGTCAAAAATCACAAGTCTGAAAAATAAAATCACCTGTCTAAAACTGAGGGGATTTAGTTTGTGGAGAGCCCCAGTGAATGGTCTGCCCCCTCTTTTAAAGGCCTTCAGCTAGCTCACACTTCCCTGTGCTGCGCACAGGGAGTATGGGTCCTTACAGTATGGTCCCAACCATCAAGGCACACATTAAAAATGAAGATTCCAGGGGTGCCTGGA